CCTCGTTGCCGTCGCCGTCGTGGTTTGCCAAGGGTCCCTATTCTTGCAATTGCACCGAGCCGTTCATCCTGTACGAGCTTCAGTCAGGTAAATCATATCACCCCCTTGATTATGAATTGGTTACTCTTGCTAAACCCTGTTCTTATATAAGGTTAACTTGTGCTAGCTGCCAACCTTCTACAAAACGAATCGGCTGAATCGAAGTAACGCATGCTCGGTAACTTTGGTCATATTTGATTAGATAGCTTCAAACACCACATACATACCTGAGATTTTGGAAATGAAAATAACAAAACCTTCTTTCTCTTTGTTTTCCTCTTTGTTGTTGTTTTTTTTTGGCTGTTGATGTTTTTTCGTGTGTGGGTGTGCGTGCGTGTGCGTGTGCGTGTGCATGTGTGTGTGTGTGTGGCCATAATTTTGGTGTACAATTTATCCCCTTTAAGTTGGGGAAATTGTTTGAAGGGAAAAAAAGATAAAGCTAAAAGCGTGCACGAAGCCCGTTGCTCTAGTATGCAAATTATGACCTTGAAAGGAACGACTCGTGGAAAATGTTTTGAGTCGATGTCGTTTGAATTTGCGTGATTTTCCCTCAAATTACGTATCAAATTGTACCGTACGCTCGAGACTTTCTACTTATCAAGTTTTTACAAGTGCTACTTAAAAAACCCTTGCTTCCAGCCGCAGCAGAATGTACCGTAAACCGATCGATGTAATGAAGTACTTGATGAGCGCCAGTACAGGCATAAAATGGGGCAAGTTTGGTCCTTTAAATCTCCTAAACAAGCACGGTGACATTTCTTTCTTATTGCATTTTTCAAAACAGACATTGGTAAGGAACATTAAAGGAAAGTTTAAGAAAATTGTTCGGTAACCGTTTTTTCTGAGGAACAACCCTAAAAGACGAGTAACATGAGTTGAAGGGAACCAACCAGAGAAATGCACGGAAAAAAGCCTTCCTGCGATCATGCCGTTCATTTTTATTTCTAGGGCTGAGAGCCTCAACTGCCTCCACTGACAGCGTGCAGGGACTTTATCGAAGTTCATGATTCCCGCCAGCTGCATCCCTTATCCCGCTACCATGACGAAACTTTGAACATCTGGTTATTACCACTGCAACCTCCTCAAGAGAAACACAGGAGATTTTCTAGGTTTTTTCACGAACTGAATTTTATTTTCGCTCGTTTGGAATGGCTACATAGCTGACAAGTTGCAAAAATTATTTCCTTTAAGAAAAACGTAACGTTGATT